GAGCACAGAATGAAGCGATCACCAGATTCGACAAAGAGCTAAAAGATCCAGAAACTTGCACGGCGTTCAAAGATGATATAAGCAGCAAACTCGCTGCTGTAGAGGGAAAGACTTGCAAGGACTTTGAGTTACTCTACCAAAAACTAAATCAGGGTATCGTCGGTGCCGCAGAAACCCACTCGTCGCCATGGAAGAAACGGGGTGAAGCAGGAGTTCATACAAAGCCCTGTAGATACGAAGAAGCATGAGTATTGACATCTCGTGAAGGCAGTCTGTAAGAATTGCCGCTGTGACAAGCGACACTGGATGGAACTCGACGCGCAGAAACTGGAGCAGACGGCTTCGAAAAGGAACTGGAAAACGCTGGACAACAAAGTCAATATAATTACCAATGAGGGGAAATTTAAGTCCCAAACTTGTCTGATTCACAGCAGGTCAAGCGTGCCGCGCTTCCGGAGTCAGAGACCGTCAGAGGAGATGGACCAAACATTAAGAAGAGCTGCGAAATAGGTCCGCACAAGTGGATAATCTGAAAATAAATCTTGAGGACTCAGTTGAGGTGGAAATTGACTGATCCGTTCCAAAGACAAAATCTGAGAGCCCATACGTCTCTGTCGAAGTTCGAAATCCCATGGACACGACAGGTAAGCTCTGAAGTACGCTGGTGAAACCTTACTGAACTGGATATGTCTGGTGCTTGACAGCATGTGGTAGAAGTCAGAAATTCATGTCATCCGGAAGCAGGAAGCGATTATTCGCATATTTAAGCGTCAAAATCGTTCTGATTGAGCCAACTGCCCTCGAAATCTTGGTTCTGTCTACGCTGGTAAAGATACTCGGGCGAATCCTCCAAAGACTGAACTACGCAGATGGCAATTCGCTTCGATCGAATCAAACACGGTTTCGAACTGGACTCTCATGTGCGGATTATATCGCTGTACCAAAGATGATGATCGAACGGAGGTGGAGTTTCCAACTACCTTGGAATGGAACATTCCTCAGCATTTGAGCAGCTTTCTACTCGGTACGCTATCGGTCCTCGTGGCACACAATGGGACATTACAGAGTCTCGGAGGGGGTCATGGGTCAGCTAAAATGATTATACAGAAGTAGTAAATGCGCCATCAGAGCAGCAGAATCGTCGCCGGACTGGTTTAACATCGACAGAAGAGTACGTAAAGGATAGGAGGTTTTACCTGTGTTATTCAACGTGACAGTTGATTATGTTATGTAAAGAAGCGTCCTCCCCAGCAACAGTAAGGGATTTATTTTCAGACGACGACTTAGCCGAAGGTGCCCAGCAATACCTATCACCGATATCGAGTGCGCTGACGACATTGTACTACTGAGCGACTACTCAAAGGCCTACTCGCCCTATCTCGAGAAGTGTGCAATGTGACCTCTACGGTAGGCCAGGAAGTTAACCTAACCAAAACGAAAATCTTCTGAGCGCCTGACTCGACTAACGGCAGAAAGATTCCAGATTGGTATGGAACGACAATCGATGAGGTCGAAAACTTCAAATACCACGATTCTAAACGGTGGCACCACCAATCCATTCCGACAGCAACAAATATCACCATGCCGAAAGCCATCGTCTTCTCAGTCCTAATGTACATCTTTGAAACATCCTTTTAAGGCGTCGTGAAAAGATGTTGGAGATTTTTTCAACAGCGTTGCTTGCGGAACATATTGGAAGTTTGATGGTTTTCCATTGAATAAGGACTGAACAGATCTTGGAGAAGACCGGCTTGGGAA